TAGATAATGGATGGATGGATGATAAAATTAGAGCAAACTAAATACATCTCAGTATAACACAATACGGTTTAACAGCAGACTGTAACTTCCAATCTGCTTGTTAAACTGTTGAACTTCTTTAGTGTCCCAATAAAACCTGAACCTACAGGATTTAGTGCTGCTCTGTTAGTCTGAGACTAGAACAACCATCTCCACATGAGTAAGGTCAGCCTCATGTAATGCAGTCCTGACATCTCTCCTCAGCCAGTTCTACCACATTTCTACCTCGGGTGAGTCTCCGGTCATTGACGACTTCCAGGTGAGTAACGACCCAGAGACAACCCTAAATAAATATCTGAGACTCCCACCAGTCAGTTAGCACCTATGAAGCCGTTTGGATAAAAGGTGAAACATCTTCAAGAAACTAAGCAGAGACATCCAGCTGCCTCCTACTAAAGCACCAGGAGTAATCCTGACATAGCTTTGGAATAACCTTCCTCTCACAGTAAAAAGTTCCTCCTCCATTGACAGTTCTAAGGAACATCTCAACATGTTTTCAACTGTGTCTGGTTGTTCTTAACGGTCCTGTTTTTTCGTATTTTTCATTGGAGTTTATAACTTGTTATCTTGTTTTTTCTTATTTCGTTGCTGCCTGACTTTCAACATGTGCAGCACTTTGGTGAACTCGGGTTGTTTTTAAACGAGCTACATCAATGAACTTGATCTGATAACTTGGATGACGAACGTAGGAGTAAAATAAGTTTGGTTTGGTTTTGAGTTACTAAAACCAAAGTTGTTTTTGTTGCGTCTGTTAAAAATGTAACACCCCGATAATTTCGTTGAGTTTGGCTCAAAGGGTTGTTCAACAAAATGTTAGTTCACGGGTCCCATCATGCTTGTTTTTTTTTATATTTCTGTTGAACCACAATTCAAAAGCAATGTCATGACTTTCATTAAACTTTTATTTATTATTACTTTTGTCAGTTTCAACTTATTTTAGTGATTTTTTTCCTTCTTTAATGGGAGGGTATGAACACATTTGAGGACGACTGTATGTGTCAGGTTAAATTTGGTGCATCAAATTGGGGCTTCTTGAAACTAATTCCTGGGCTGACTTTATTTTTTCTTGCCTGTTTCAGAGGCGTATCTATTATTAAATCAATACATGTTTGCACAACTCCCACACAGTCCAAAAACATGTTGAGGTTAATTGGTGATTCTAAATTGTCTGTAGGTGTGAATGTGAGTGTGCTTGGTTGTCTGTCTCTAAGTGTAGCCCTGTGATAGACTGGTGACCTGTCCAGGGTGTCCCCTGCCTTCACCCTGAATCAGCTGGGATAGACTCCAGCCCCCCATGACCCTAGTGAGGATTAAGTGGTGTATAGATAATGGATGGATGGATGTTTGCACAAAAGTCTGATTTAAATACAGCTGCTAAAACAATAGTTTAAGCTGAAAAATGTGCGTGCAGGATTTTGGAGCGAGTTGTCTGAATTTGGGTCTGAATGTTTGAGTCACTGCAGCTTAACACAAGCTGTTAATCCCAAACCAGGGACTTTAACAGACACATGGCAGCAGCAGGACAGACCGGATGAGTGAGTTCTGCTCTAAACCCCAACATCATGATATGATCTTACCTTGATCCTGGGCATAGTGACTGTAGGAGGTCTGGCCTTGGCCACAAAGCTGTGAGAGGAGCCTCTCTCCACCACATGCCTGGTGTAGGGCATGAACATGCGCCCATTGGGTCCGAACACGAAGTCCTCTCTGAGGGCGTCCACCAGCATTATAACCACCCTCTTAAACAGGGGCTGCGGGAGGCGAGAGGAATTAGGAGAGCTGCCTGTAAAAAAAAAAAAAAAAGACATATATTTTATGAGTTTTAACAGATGTAAGCCTCTCAGAGCTGGTTGGAGGAGATATGATGCTCAGCGCTCACCTGTCAGTGGCTCCGCGGGCAGATCTGACAGGCTGCTCTTTGATGAGAAGGAGGACTTGACAGGTACCGGGAAGAAGCCCCGCAAGAACAGGGCCACGCCGATCACTTCAAATATCAAAATAAACGAGGCGAACACAGACGAGCGGACTTTCATGGTGCCGGATGGCTGGCGGACACTTTAAGGAAGGAGTAAGTTCAGCTAGTGAGGTAACTTGCTAACAAACAACCGACATGACGCTTCCTGCAGAGTAACACGGAGGAGAAGCGGCCACAGCGTCCCATGTCACCCCGACACACTGTCTAGACACATTACACAAAGCTACGAGTCTCCGTGTTTAATAAACTGACCTTAAGTTGTGTATTTGTAGCCGTAGTTTAAAATAAAAACACTAATACGAGGATGCGCTGAAACAATTCATAGCCACTTCCGCGTTGATAACATGACGCTACGGGTAGCACAGAGGACCAAACCAAAGGAAAACGCGTTTCGTTTTTTCCTCTTTTTTATTTAAAAAATAAAAAAAATAAAAAAAACAGCTTTAGGACTGTCAATATAAAAAGTCATCAGCCTAGAGTCTCTCAGAACAAACACACACTTCTACTAAATTCTAACCGGTAATGTAATTTTACATCTCAGTCAAGTCTTTTGCATCTAAAGACATATAATACATGAGTTGAGTTTATAAACAGGCTACTGAACAGAGTGACAATAGCAGGTTTTTCTAATGACCAGAAAAAAGATCTGTAGACCATCTGTTAGTTTCCTACACAAAGTTTACACAGCAGGCCTTCAACAATGATCATTTACTTTGAATTTTAGTATAGTGATTAAATAATAACTGCATCTTCCAAAAGACAATATTTCTCATAATTCAGTGCGTTAAATTAGATATAAAAGATGATGTATGGAAACTATGTACACTTGATGGCTAAGAACACAGTTTATTGTATCGGACTATGTAAAACACATATCATCTTATATTTGAATTGAGTTTATAAAAAGAGTAAAGAGTGTAATATTATTCTGATCACCAAAGAAAATCAATATACTACTTTAGGAATATTCAGTAAACCACCTAGAGTCTTTACAAAGTCTAAACAGCAGCCTTCAACAATAAAAAATCGTGGTTAAATAATTACACCATCTTCCTAAAAAGCATGAAAATAATCTTATAGTAATTCAATACATGCATTAAATTCTTTTTACACCTGAACATGTAAAAAATTCAAAGTTCACACTTGATGGCCGAGAACACATAAATTATTGCATCTGAGTATATATAATACAAATCATCCATCCACTATCTATACACCGCTTAATCCTTACGAGGGTCCAATTAACCTCAACATGTTTTTGGACCTTGTGGAAAGAAGCCGGAGAACCTGGAGAGAACCCACACTGCACGGGGAGAACATGCAAACTCCACACAGAAAGATCCCGGGTGTCCTTAATACAAATCATAAATACAGTATATGAGTTGGGTTTAGAAATAGGCGACTAAACAGAATAAAGGTAGTTTTGTTATACTAACTACCAGAGAAGATCTATATGCAGCAATTAAAATCATTATTAAATAATAATCCGAATTAAATTATTTAAAAACATCTCGTTTTTCCTCAAAAATCTCTTTTGTTCATATCATGATCCACTTGTCATGTACTGTGAAGCTCAAACTTCAGTAGATCCTTGTTCTTTACTTAACAAAAGCTGCCCACTCCTCAATAAACAAACGGTCAAGCAGAATATTTTTGCAGACTCATTTTGTTTAATTGGGTTCCTTTTATCCACATGTAGGGATTATGTAAAAAATCTGATGATGTTTTCGGTCATATTGATGCAGAAGGGTTTACAAACCTTCAAGCTCCACTGTATGCATCTCCAGATATTACTTACTTCTATGCTTCTGTTTGCATTTGCTACCAACAATGAGGAGACAGAGACTTAAAATCTGCTTGTTTAATATCGCCAAGAAAGATTTAAAGGCCATATAAAATAAAAGACTGTAAAAGACAAGTATTCCTAAAGCAGATCCTCATAAAGCCAAACTGTCATCAACTGTAATAATTAAAGTAACGCGCAGGAAGTCATCAACAACTGCAAAATGCTTTTCCTAGATAACAAACAGCCAAAGTTCTGTACCAGTTTGTGAATCTGAGTCACGTCTGAATGTTTGAGTTGAGCGAAAGGGCAAAACGTAGACATATCCACAGATGTAGACGACATAAAAATAGCCATAAAGATGTTGACAGGAAAATATCAAACGTCTGTGGACATTTATTAGTCACTGCAAGAAGTGTCTGTCTGTAAAACACTTTGAGTCTGACAGCAGACGTGGCTGTGAAATGATAATTCTAAGACCATGATTATTATATAAATGCAGGACCACTAAGATTTAGGCTTAATCATACAGTGTCTGGTTCATTAATTAAACCTATGATGTGACAAAATGGAAAAGGCCCATAATAGTAAACTGTTCACTGACAGTCCAGCCAGGTGTTCTCTCCTGAAAACCCTCCACACTGCTGAAGTGCCGCCTGTCAGATCGTGTCCTCCTCCTTCCAACCGCGGCAAAATACCAATTAGTCCCTAAATCAGATTCGCCTTAATTTGCTAAGTACAAAGGACGGCACTCGGGGACAATGAGCTTCTTTCATCAAGCATCTCCGACTGCCGAGGACGAGTTTGTGTGATTTAAATCTGACATTAATGGGGCCTGAAGCCGATGGAGCCTGATTGGAAATGAGCTCAGGGTGGAATTAATGTCCACTCAGGTCTGCTGCGTGTTTGAGCTGGTGCTGCCATCTGCTGGGGAAAGCTCATAAAAGACGACGTAAGAAATTAGTTTTTCTTTCACTACCAGGTGGAAAAACAACAGATATTTAGGAATTCTATTAAAGGATTGGTTCATATTTGTCATTCCTGTCTTAAAAACAGTAATAACAGGCTCATCAGGTCATTAAAAGGCTTTCTGCAGTTCTTCCTCGTGCCCATATTTGCCCCTTTCGAAGGCAGATCAGTGGTCAAAATCCACATTCCCCCCCTCAGTGTTAACATTTAGTTCAGCTGAAGCTCATATTAGACTGAAAACTTCCAAAGTTACAGATGTTTTGCTATAAAACTCCCGCTCTGAAGTCAACATGATTTTACTCGTAGTTTAATCGTAGCAACTGGACTTGCTTGAGTGTCTTGAAGACGTTCCACCTCTCATCCAAGAGGCTTCATTAGTTCTGACTGACTAGTTGGGAGTTCCAGATACTTATATCCTTCAGGAGCCATTAACACCTGAGACACTGGAAGGTTTCCACTTAATTGGTCTCCCTGAAGACTGCTTCATGTTAACTTCGATTAAACTTAAAAACACTAACTTTGGAAGATGTCTGTTGCTGTGAAACGCTGGTTAACTGATGAGATGGCAAATAATTCATGATCCATAATCTATAGTTTGATTCAACGTCAGACTAAATAGGCCATTTATTTGCAGCAAAATGATGAAGCTTGATGGCTGAAAATATTTGTTTCACACATCTTTTTGTACAATCTGAGAAGATTATTGAGAACCTGATATATTCACTATTCATCATTAAAAACATTTTTACATTAATAACATTAAATACAGCAGGATTTTATGGATCCTGGAGGTGCTACACACAATACCTCTCTTCATGGTCATGGTTTTTAGTTTTTCTTCCTTCGACTTGTCGTCATCTTACATTTACTGGAAATATTTAGTCAGCTGGGACAGACTCCAGCCCCCCGCGACCCTAGTGAGGATTAAGTACAGTGTATAGATAATGGATGGATCGATGACTTAGATGCTATATAATGTCCAATATGTAATAATATCCATCTCATTTGAATAATACTTCTTTTTTTTCCCATGAAGTGACATTCAAAATTCTTTTAACAAGGTAGAACTTCTGTTTCATCAAGTCTGCGGACATTTCCTGTGTGGTCCACTTTGATATAACCCTCCCATGTTAATAAATTACTAGAATAATTAAGGATGAAGTAATGATCTTAAATGCTTTGAAAAATATTGATTTTGTTGGAACACTTTCCTGATGTAATGACAAAAGCAGAAACTCAGGACAGTTTGCAGCACTTTTATTTAAGGAGAAATCTACCAGAGCCTTTCAATAACAAAGACCTGATCCATATCCTATTATACATAATAATAATAATAATAATGCATTAACAGTGTCACAGTCTATTTTTCTTTCCTCTTCAGAACACTAATAAAGGCGTCTTTGGGAACGTCCACGTTGCCGATGCGTCTCATCTTCTTCTTTCCTTCGGCCTGTTTCTTCAGTAGCTTCATCTTGCGCGTGATGTCGCCTCCGTACTACCAAGAGAAAACAAACAATGAAAAATCCAAGCCATCTGTGGTGTATGATGACTGCTTTCTTTTTAATAATGCAAAAGAAAAAAACATTTACTTACACATTTGGCGAGAACATTTTTTCTATACGCCTTAATTCTGAAAGAGACACCACATATTATTATTTCATGAGCACCTTACATCCTCTGTGTGTGTTCTTTTGCATCTCGCACGACCACTCTGACGACACACTTACGTTTCTCTTGCGATGACCTTACTTCCGAGGGCTGCCTGCACAGCGATCTCAAACATCTGCCTGGGGATGGAGTCCTTCAGCCGCTCACACATGGCCTTCCCCGTACTGTACGCTCGCTCCCTGTGATGAAAAGGCACTCGTCAGAATCAGGAGCAACGATAAAACCGCCGCTGCTCATATATCTGCTCTACGCTCATGAGCGCCGGCCATAAAGTCTACTGTACTCATCACATTACCCTAAAACACAGTAGTTAATAATGACATGTGTCGTCTGAAATAAATGATGAAGGGTCTGTTTTTGTACAGTCATGATAAAGATGCAGGTTCGTGTGACTGGAGCTGGAGCTGGAGGAGTTACTGCATTGATCAATGCACAGCTTTTAAACAGGATTACTTTCATCTTTTAGCAAGCTATTTACACAACCTTGCTCATTCTCAGGCAAATAACGTGCACATTCCCGCACACAGGAAATATTTCCACTAATTTTTATTAATTATAATCCCTTGTATTTGCTACACTTGTTTAATTGTTATGCACCGACACACACATAGTCAAATTTCTCTTATGAAAACCTGCTAGACAATAAAACTGTTTCTGATCGTCACATTTTAAATATTTGTCCTTTAAACTTTTTTTTCCTCGAGAGTCAAAGCAGACGTATCAGCTTTTCAAGTTTTGTTGTCAGCAATTCTCTAAATTTCAGCATCATCAAGCTTCAGATTAGAAATTTCGAACTGCATGACTATATTTTAGGAATGAGGATGACTGCAGGTTCATTAGACGATTAGCCTAGCTTAGCTTAAAGACTGGAGGCGGAGGGAAACCGTTAGCCTGTTTTAAAATGTGCTGCATTAAAGGACAGCTGTGGTCTTTTTCCACTCAGTAACCTTGAAACAGCTGCAATAATCACACAGGGCAACTGTCTGCATAAAATAAAATAAATAAATATGCCTTTTTTTTTGCCACTGACAAGCTCAGATTGTTATCGGAAGTGTCTGACAGCATCATCGATCGGGTTCCTACAGAGCGTCTGACATAAGTCTCGCTCTGAAGTCTCGCGGGAGGACGACATTAGTGTTAACATGAGTGAGAGCTAATAGTCCAGCGCAGAGGAGTGGAGGGATGCTGCAGAGCTGGAGTACAGAGAGCCTACTGCTACCTAAATGAAACAAAAAGCCCATAATGGCTCACGCATTTCCACATTGTGGCGACAAAACGAAGCACCACGCTTCAAAAATCCTTTACAGACTGCCTCCGTGATGCTGAAGTTGTGGATATCTGCATTAAATGGATGAAACCACTTGTGTTTGCTCATCTTGCAGATCATCGTGTTTGCAGTTTCATCAGTCAACAGTTTGAGGCTATCGTTATCAAAAACAAGCAACATTTCATTTGACAGTTGACCTGCAGCAGTTCTGTGGTC